AAGAGAGAGAGAGAGATCACTAGAGGAACTATGTTATTCTTTGTACTACATGTAATAGTATTAAGCGCATTGAGCACTTACCACGTGGAAACGCGCTATATCTAAATGTAGTTTATTTATGTTACTTTTTTAAACTCTTTCTGTTATCCCCCCCCCTCCCCCACCTAAAATGGCCTGTACTTCAGGCCTTCTCAAACTGAGAAGGCCTAGCATGTACTGTATCAAATAACATTCACTATTAAAGACTATACATGTATCAGAACCGAAAGTATTGGCCAAAAGCAATGACGGGCTGGACGAGGTGAAAAACTCGCTGTTTCAACTCTACGAATATCAGTTTAACGGGAAACACTAATGCTTGAACAGACATCAACAATACAAGTGTCAAATAAAGGGGCGAGCGTCTGTATAAGCAAGGGCATGGGTTTAACGCCCCTATCATTGATCAACACTAGTAATAGTAAGTAATTTAAGAGGCAGGATCTCCAAATTTAACGTCCTTCTCCGATAGAACCAAGCCAAATGGGTTGAAAACCTTGAAAACTCCACAAAATGAACTGAGTGGAAAAACCAGTCTGGGATTCAAAACAGGGCCATCCGCTTCATTGTCCAGCATGATGATACTAATTGAGTTAACTAAGTACCTGGGGTAGGTTTGGGGCCACAGGGAAGTTGAGAATGAGAGCGTTTTAATACTGTGTCTGATCAGGCAGACGGGTTCGAACTCAGGTTGCCACTAGCTGGATCAGAGAAATGTGTGCCCCTGGGTTAGAGGTAGTGAGTGATTCTTGAGCAATGGCTCCTGAAAGTCAAGACATTCTCTTGACTCAATGTCTTTTAAATATCAGATGTAGGTGTTTTTATGTCCTCATCGACACAATTTAGATCATAATTTAGGACGCGTGGGTTCCACCCTGTCAGTCAGGGCCAACCCGAGCTGAGAGGAATACAACGACCCAGCAGAAAGACTGAGATATTAGAAAAAAATTCTCCTGATTCAGGAATCGCATTTGGGTTTCTGGATGGACACTTCAACAGACATCAACATACATGTGCTTATTTTTTTTTCTCATGTATATATATATATATACTTTGTAATTCAAAACAAGTACACTTGATAGCAAAATTCATAAACAGAGAAAAGATTTACTGCGTTCTGCTGAATTCCTTGTGTGTATGCTAGACTGTATTGTTAACTTCATGTCTGCTACCGCCAACGTTTTGATCAGTAGGAACATAAAAGTATCATGTTCTCTGGTCCTCTAGGCTTAAAATCATTACTCTCTGATTCCTACTCACTGGTAAAGAAGAAAAAAATCCTGCTTCTTTGAATAACCTGACACAAAAGCAACTTCAAAGTAAAATTAAGTCATACCTAAAAATCAAATTTGGAGATAGAGTAAAAATTTCTCTTCAAGTAGAGTCCAGTCCAGTCCATTTATAACAGCCTCTGTTATAGCCTCTGTTATAACAGGAACTTGGATTAACAGTGATAAATCAAATCCCCGTTTTTTTCTCTATAAAAGTGTACGTAATATGAATCTGGCTATAATAGGATTCACTGTTTTTCTGAGTCTGCGCAATAACAGTGATCTTGCAGCGCATGAACTTACTTTCTGTCCGTCAAACTATTAAATTTGTCTCAACCAAGACGTTTTGTATGATTGCTTGCCTAAACACAAACTTTCAAACACATATCCCCCCCCCCCCTAGTGTTGGGGTCACAGATTGATTCCGTCTCAGTGTCAGCAAAACAGCCCACAGGAAAAGGATCTGCGGTAATCGAATATATATTACGCTGAAGGTGCATGATACCGATAGTTTTCCATGATAACTGTTATTCTATAAAAGGACTCGCTTATAACAGGGAAAAATTGACGGTCCCGTCTGTCCTGTTATGTTATATATATATCCGAGTTTGACTGAAAATATTTCCTCCGACATGGTTAAGAATCATGTCTCAACAGTATATTATTATACAGTGGAGTTCACTTGAAGCGAAATCTGCTGGACTGCTGGGTTTTCTTCCAATTAGCCATTTTTTTCAGTTTCGAAAGATTACTCGAATAGTAGAAAAAAAAAATCGGGATTTTTTATTTTTATTTCCGTTTACTACTGTTTTCGGGTGAACAGTGTTCGCACCTTGACCTACTAGAGCCAAACATGGACCCTGACCAAAAGTCTGGAAGGTAAGATAACCACCTGCAAGATGAGAAGTTTAAGGAGAGCTGTCAACAAAACCAGATGGGACATGGTCAGAAACAACAAGATCAGAGAAATGGTGGGAACAACACCTGTCCTCCACTTCATCCGAAGGCAAACAATCAGGTGGTTTGAACATCTCACACGTATGGCACCTAAACCGCTTGCCAGTAAAGCCTACTACAGGAAAGTATCAGGGTACAAAGCAAAAGGAAGACAAAGAAAGACCTGGACCCAAGGTGTTAAGGATATCCTGAGAACATTCAATATCCCACCCAGCCAGGCCATCAAACTTGCTAGAGACAGGAAGCTCTTTCTCCCCTCGACGCCCTAGTGGTACAAGAGGACGGATAAAGTAAAGTAAAGTAAGTAAGTGTTTAGTTTCATAGTTTCAGCAGACTCCTCTCTATACTCTATATAAAAAAAAAAGACTTGCATTTTATATATATGTAAATCTTGGCACCTAAATTTTAACACAGACACCCTTCAAACTCAAACACAATCCCTCAATGTCAAAGACCACTATGACAGTAAATTCAAAGGGGAAAATTTTATTCCAGGTCACATCGTTATTTGAACTATGACACAAAAGTCATAAAATATCAGGCACACACACTCATTAAGTCATAAAACGTCAAGCACACACTCATTAAGAACATACACTATATACCCATTAGCTTGTGCACTCATCAGTCAATAAACACTGCATGAGGGTGGTTGGCAGGTGCACTAGTGTGGTTTGCGTTTTTCTTCTTATCAAACATCTATTATCCTTATCCCTCCACCTTCTTTTTTTTGTTTTTTGTATTCGTCTCTCTCATGTCACGGAAGTTGGCAAAATTTGCCCCTCCTGGTGGACTATATGACGTTACATGTACGTCACGCTGATAACCTGGCTCTAATTCTTCTGTACAGAGTTTTAGCCACAAGCGCTGCGTAGATTCGTATTCGGGAATAAAAGGCGCGCATATTGGTACCAAATTTGCTAGTATTTCTTTACTGCTAGGTTTGAAAGTGATCGATAAACATAGATCTTGGCTTGCGGGCCGCAGCGAGCTCTTGTAAAATATAAACATCGAAAAGACTTTAAAAAGGCAAATAAATTCATTTTTTGACCCAGATTTGCAGGTTATTCGAAATTTTGAGTAAGGTGGGAGGAAATGGGGGATACATAAGAAAAGAGACACAATCCAAGACCCGGTGTCCGAAATATGTCACGAGTGCGCTAGATCTAGACAGCGCACCCATTAACACAGAGACATTAGGCTACTGTCCTGGGTAAAGAGCTAAGCTGAAAATCAGTGCTGACCGTAGGAACATATACCCCCTGGCAATGAAAGGGTTAAACCTATTCATGTGTTGCAGTTGCCATAAAGCTCTTTAAAAAACTTTTAAAAAAATCCAAATTAAACACTGCATGACACAGTCTGGTGACAACAAAACTTATGCTTGTCAACCAGAGACCAACATTTGTCCGGAAACAAATTGGCACATTTTGATAGAACGCGAATACAAGCTGGCACTCCACAAACAAACAAGTGAGAGGGTAAAAAAGTACAAAACATAAGCTCGCACACACACAATCTCAAGCATATAACAAATCCACAATCAACGCTAACAGCATCTGATCATAATTTATCCATACCATACACAATTTGCGCCAGCACTTGAACCTTTACACAAAAGAAGTTGATTTTATCACAGGATCCAAGCACTTTAGACATCTCAAGTACCAGCATAGGCAGACACCTCCTTTCATAAGGCTTGTATCATATAAATATGCACTCTGTACGTATCACACTGTCCTGGAGACCATCACCCTGCTTGAAACTGGAGAAGTCCTTTAGAGACCAGAAATCGCACTTTGTCTCTGAGATCACTACCAGTTTCATCAATTGTTCTGGGAAAGAATAAGAGATGTGTATGAAAGAATATCAATGAGAATGTTACACATTATGACATCCCTTCCCTCTCTCATACACACTTACAGTACTAACACATATAACCCATACTCATCCTTCAGCCAGCTGTAGGGCAGTAAGCACAAAGACAAAGAAGAATGTTAGCACCTATGAATCAATGCCCTTACACACACACACAGCTATCCATACACGCACATGCGCGCACACACACACAAACATCCGCATGTACACACACACAACCCATTCACCAGCTATCAGCCATAGATGCATGTAATGTAAACACCTTAGGAAAATCTATGCCTTTACACACACTTGCAGCACTTTGTTTAACTCTTTGATAGACCCCATAGATTTGACCATGAGAAAGCAGAGTACATGTAATATGTAACATACATATATATAAAAGATCATACTTATTCTAAAGTTATGGTTGTATATTACACATAATATACACAGTCCAGCACACACATAGCAAACAGATTTTCAGAACCCGAATTTTTTCTATACATGTTATGTGTATATAGTATACTTTGTATTTAAAATGCCTACATAGTGAAATTCAAACAAAATGAAAGATTTCCTCATCCTGCTGATTTCACTCTGTGCATGCTAGACTGTATATACAGAAAACATTTTAAATTGGTTTTAAAACACACTTCTGTGAGTATTTTATCGAAAAATGTTGATTGAAGGCACAAAAATGTAAATTTGCAGTTTTTAAGGACGCTCTTGCTTTGGGAATCTTCAAACTTTAATGGCCATTTTCTCACTTATTTTAGCTCTATCATCAGACAATCCCCACCTCCTTCAATTGCAAATGTCTCAACTTCTATTTAGGATAGATGGGTATTTTTTTCACCTAAAGCAGGGCATATTAGGGGCTTGAAGATGATACCAATAACTCAAGTAGTCCAAAAATTGACGAGTGCCCGATTCCAGCGCGTCTTGACATATTTTCTTTCAAACTTTTGAATTCATATGGTAGATTGGGCAATAGCAGGACATAAAAACTGTACTGGTCAGTACACCAAAGGGCATGCTGACATCACAAATATTAAAAGGGTCAAAAACATTTCTGGATGAATTTCAAAACAATTTGTGACAGTTCCAGAAATTTTAGATTGGGCAGCACCCCTATAATGTTTTGTATACTGTACTTAAAACAGTAAAATCTTGGTAATAAGAACTCTGGAAATTGCAAAGTAGTAAGAGCATTTGGTACCTCTTCCTAAAATAGCTTCCTTCATATCAAAACTAATGAAATACAAGACTTTTTTTCCTTTTTAAAAGTAGGCCTTTTTACACTCCCATCAATAACATTTAGATCAATTAGGAGGCAGGCTTCCGACCCAGCCTGTGAAGGCCACCCCAAGCCAAGAGGGATACAATATTCCAACAGAAAGACTGAAATACTTGATAAAAATTCTCCCCACTCAGGTCTCCTGCATGTGATGGCAAAGTACCTGGCCGCCATAGCACAGACGCTGGTTTGAAACGAAGATGAAGCACTGGATAATGGATGTTTGTTCTGAAGAAGAGACATTATGGTGCTATTGTGCTTGTACTAGAAAAGTGGGAAGACATGTAATAACATCAAGAGGCTAGCCCAAGATAGAGAAAGGAGGAAGGTGTTTGTCTTTGGCCTATACCCTGGTGCAGGGTGAGAAAGGCAATGATGATGGTGAAGTACTTGTACTAACCTTTGTGCTTTCTCTGGGTCAGACCTCAGTAACTGAATGAGATTCATGATCTGCGGCTCCATGAGAATTTCCATGACCTTGGGGTCGCTCAGCATTTTTTTGACTTCCTCGTCTCCAACTTGAGGCATCGCCTCAATGTCTGCGCCATTGCCAGGATTTCGAGTTAGAATATTCGGAGCACCTTTTCTTGATTCGGCTGTTTTACCAGAGACTTTGATTTCCGCAGTCTTATTGGGAGGCGTTGTGGCTGTGTCATCATCTGTTATTTCTACAATTTTTGGCTTTTGACCCGAAGACTTTTTTTCCGAGGGCGCAGATGAATCGTCAGTAATTTCTACAATCTTGGGTCCTTTGGGTTCATTCCCATCAAACTGTGAGAAGCTGGGTACAACAGGAGGGGATGTTTTGTTTGTCTCTTTCTGTGTAGAAGTGGCTGATGACTTTGCTGAATTCTTGGAAGACTGAGAGCTTGAAGAAGTGTCGCCACTGCTGCCCATGTGCGTGAAGTGGTCTCCTGAAGATATACATGACAGCAGAGAGAATGGGGGATGGTTGTTTTTCTACCAGTAGCAAGTACATATTGTGTCTGTGTATGTGTGTGTGTTGGTGTGTGAGAGAGAGAAGAGGGAGGGAAGGAGAGAGAGAAGAGAGGGAGAGAGAGAAACTACAGAGGAAGAGAAAAAGAGGAGGAGAGAGATGGAGAGACAGAGGGAAAGAGTTCATGCCAGTAGACACACTGTTTGGGTACACTTGTGTGACTGAGTTGTGCATCATTGTGTATATTTGATGCTGAATCTTTATACGTTGATGTTCTGGTATATATCCACTGAAAATTTCCCTCATGGACAAATAATGATCTTATCTTCACATGCTGAAGCCCACAAAATTCACTGACATCTACTTAGTCACTGTGTGGATTTAAACATTCCTTTCAACCACGTAAGCTTTTTAAAGAGATGGAACTCCCATTGTTGTTGTTGTTAATCCAGTAATCTTTGAGTGAGAATCAAGTATGTGCTTTTTAGCCCAGTACCATGTTCAAGAAATGGGGCTGCTGTATTTAAAGTCTTTCTCAAACAAGATTAAGTTAAATAGGCCAACAGCCTTAAATATCCTACAAATGATCAAATAATGATAATACTAATTGCATTTATATTGCGCATGTCCAAGCTCTACAGCATTTTCTATGCGCTTTACAACTATTATTACCCCAGCAGACACTAAAATACCCAGAAATATTCTCGGATTTGCCAGAAGCCTTAGTACAAGGAAGCCCCAATGGGTATTCAAACTACGGCCATTCGCGTCATAGTCCAACATTATACCAACTGACTTAGCAGCACCTACTAGCTAAGACACAACAGAGAGAAAAAACTCTCAAACAAATGTTCTGATTTACTTGCACAATGACAAGTGCTTGACTGTTAGACTTGATTGTCAGGTTTTGCCCACCACAGACCTGTGTACAGCACAATTCCTTTTCTTAAAATTTTATTACCTTAATTTAGGTGTTTTTACACCCCCCCTTCACCACATTTAGATCATTTAGGAAGCCAACCTGGACTGAAAGGGACAGAAAGACCGAGATACTCAATAAAAATGTCTCCCCATTTGGGACTCGATTTTGGGTCTCCTGTAGCTGTAAGCGATAGTGAAGCACCTAGCCGCTACACCACAGACACCGGTAGCTCCATCTCTGTTCACTTATAACAAATCATGTCAAAGAAAGACAAGCTTCCCTATATATACAAACAACCACAGCTGAATGTGCTTGTAAGAGACAGAGATTGATATACAATGTGATAAATAAACAGAAATTAAGAACAAAAAAGAGAAGAGAGAAGCAGTTGTTAAAAGATCGTCAAAAAGATGTGAGAACAAAAACAGCCGGAGATGAAGGTGAGCAACTTACCTATCAGGCCACAGAATTCAAGTAGGAACTTTTCCACCTCCTTGTTACTTTTGTACTTCTCCAGTGCTGCCTGTGGGTTGGTTTGAAATTCTTCCAAGGCTTTCATGAAATGAGGATCAGTGAATCTTTTCAACAGCATTTCATTTCCTTCAACTTTGTTTAGCAGATCATCTGTTATCCAGTCTACAAAGAAAAGATAATAAATAACAATATTTATTCAAGAGGTAATAAATTGGCAAAAAGATATTATTAATCCGAATGCAGGAAAAAGAGGCTAAAACAGCACCTGGACATGGATGGCTGGTGCCTCTATAAATAAATCATTGATGGTCAGGTCGGGCATGAGCACATAATTACTTTTGGTGAGTAATTTGCTGATTGGTGAAATGGGTTCATAGTGGAACAGTCCCTGGAGTGGAACTCCCAGCTGATCGTCTACTTCCTTGACTATGAGAAGACCTCTGATATTATAGGCCGAGCAACACCATGGGAAATACTGATGCAACATGGAATTCCACAGAAGTAGGTGAACCTCATCAAGAGCATCATGTACGAAGGGACAAGTTGCAGGGTTGTACATAAAGGCCAGCACACTGACAGCTTTGACATCAAGACTGGTGTGAGACAGGGGTGTTTACTATCACCTTTCATCTTCATCTTGGTGATTGATTGGTTGATGAAGGAAGCCACCAGAGGACACAGAAGTGGTATACAGTGGACCCTATGGACATAACTGGATGATCTGGACTTTGCGGACGACTTGGCGCTTCTGTTGCACACCCAGGAACAGATGCAAGCAAAGACTTCAGTTTTAAACAGCATATTAGAGTCTGTTGGATTGAAGATCCACCCTGGAAAGTCAAAGGTCCTAAGGATGGATGCACAACGAAAGGAACAGGTCAAAATAAAAGGAAATGCACTTAAAGAGGTTGAATCCTTCTGATATCTGGAATATAACATCATGAGGCTAGCCCAGGATAGATAAGGTGGAAAGTGTTTGTTCATGGCCTCTACCCTGATGTAGGGTGAGAAAGGCAATGATGATGATGATGAATTGGGTATTCAGTGTCAAGTTTGCAGAACAGTGGTAGAACCACTTATTGCTGATTTCGCCTTGGAACCAGTTCTCCTGTGAAGTTTCCTGGCAGTCCAGAGACTGGACGATTCATAAAACAGAAAGGGCTTAATGTGGCTGTAGAGAAAAGTATTGTCAATATATAAGGACATACTATTTCATCAAAATTTACTTCAGTTCATCAATTTTGTTTCTGATTTGGCAAAAGATAAACAAAACAATCATAAAAATTATATACTGGTAATACAGCCATAGAGGGGAAATGTAATAAGCCAGTAATTTCAGTGGCAAAAGTATCATCAGCATTGTTCTACAAGTGGTTAAACCATTTTTCTATGTTTATATAAAAATAAAAGGAAAACAGTATTCAAATCTGTACCATGATTTAGGCACTTGTAATTTGTCAAATAAAAACTAGGAAGGAAATAATGAAACAGAATGACAACATTTTTTAAAGCTGGCTGCCCCTTGATGTTTCTATTCAAATCCAGCTTTACCTGGAAACCCCGGGAAATTGATTTTGGGGATTATGGAATGACACTGATGATATATTACATAAATTATGATAAATACATGGTCTAGAAGACACAGCAAACACAAACATAGCGAACAGATTTTGAGGTTCCGAATATTATGTACATGTACAGTCAAACCTTGTTATACCGCCACCCTTGGGATGAGCATGAAGTACGCTGAACGTTGTATAGCCCCGACTGCTCAGTGTCAAGGAACATGATTCTGGGGTGCAATCTGTGTTTGAAAAGTGTCTTTTTGTGGTGATATATATATATATAAATGTACATGGACATGTATTCAGAGCCGAGAGTCTTCTCTCTCTACTCTCTCTATCTCTATGTCTTTCTCATGGGAGAAAGATTACCAGGTAACTAACCAGTAGGTGCTGTGCGCTGTGCACAGTGAGTACCACTGGCGGTCAGTAGGCTGACGGTATGGCTGGCAGGGCAAATTTACATTATGGTCAAATAAGGACTGTACAACAGTTGGCGGATGGCGGAGTGAAGGCCCAAAGACTATGTTCATTGGTGCTCCTTTTCATACACTGGTATTTCACAGTTTTTCCTTTGTAGGCCTACCTGTCATCATCATCATCATCATTGCCTTTCTCACCGTGCGCCAGGGTATAGGCCATGGACAAACACCTTCATAATCCTGGGCTAGCCTCCTGTACAAGTACACTGTGAAATTCTTACATAAAAAAGATTTCTGTGTTCTGCCGATTTCGCTATGTTTGTGTGATAGACTGCATCTATTTTCTCACTACTAGATAACTTACCTTGGTTTTCCAATAACCCTTTCGATTCAGACATTGCTTGCTGTACCTCATTGAAAGTAAGTCCTGATTCAGTCTTTCCATTTGCTTGTATGAATGGAACCTCATCTTCTTGCTTCACCTTCGATGTTTTTATCTCTTTCACAGGAGGAGCAGAATTTTCTGATTTTGCTTTGGTACTAGTGACATTCCCACTTGTAGACGTTGAGTTTGACTGCTTTGGTTTATTTGGAGAACCACCAAACAGGAAACCCTTCTTAAGACCCCCAAAAAGATTTCCTTTCTCACTCTGAGTTTTTTTGACAGTCTCTACTTTAACTGGTTTGGCAGGCTCAGCTTCTGATAATGGAGAAGATTCCAACTTAGACCTTTGAGGTTCACCAGCACCCTGAAAGTAAATAGATAATGACCAATCAGAGAAGATATGAACGCTACCAATATGACCTTGTAATTCAGTTACATTATGCTAAACATCACACATGACATATATATATATATATATACACAACATAGGTGGGTGATTGGTAGGTGTTCTGGTGAGGTTTGCTCCTTCTTTACTATAACATATCTATCATCTTTCTCTTTCTCCCTGCTTTCTTTGTACGTTACTCTCTTGTAACAACTTATCTTCAGCACTTACATTATGACCTAATTGTGTTGCAAGTGCTGTAAAAAACTCTACAAGAACTAAAACACAAAGTAGTAGAATATCATCTGAATACACACTCTTTAAAACATTCTTCAAAATTAAGAGAGAAGATTATGATTCAGAGAAAGCACAAGGAAAAGCTAAATAGATGGGCGACAGGAAGAGACTATGATAATATACATTTTTCGAGAGCATCCAAGGAAAGAAATGAATGGCAAACCATGATCACCGATGTCAGTCGCAGATCTGGCACTTGATGAAAACGACAGGGAAAAGGCTCTACTACATCTCTCTAAGCTAAAAGTGTTGTTTTTATCTTGCTCATTAAAAAAACAACTATTTACATAAATTGTTTTTATACTTACCTGCCACTGCCCATATCTCTGTTATATGTAATTATATACTAATCATCATCATCATCCAGTGCCAGATCTGCGACAGACATCGGCGATCGTGGTTTTCCATTCATTCCTTTGCTCGGATGCTCTCAAAAAAGCTATGTTTCCCTTATCTTTCCCTGTTACCCATTTGTTTAGGTTCCCTAAGTATGTTGTTCTGGGCCTACCCCTGCCTCGCTTGCCCTCAATTTTGCCAGTGAGAGCCAGATGTTCAAGACCCTTATGTCTATTCAGATAACCCAAAAACTGTATTTGTCATTTTCTGATTGTTTTTGACATTGAGCGTCCCACGTGGGCTTCATCAAGCACTACCTCATTTGATTTCTTTTCCTTCCACGATACTCTTAGCAGTCTCCTAAGAAACCACATTTCTGTTGCTTCTATTTTATTTTTACTGTCTTTAGTGATTGTCCAGCATTCACAGCCATTATATAGAAGGGTTGACCAAACAGCATTTCAGGACTTTCATTTTGGTGTTCATTAAGATGTTTCTATTTTTCAGGATTGAGCTCATTTTATTGAAACTAGCCTTAGCCATTGCAGTTCTCCTTTTTATTTCTGTGGAAGATTTGGCGTCAGATGTTATCATATATCCTAGATATTTAAACTGTTGGACTTGTTTGATCTTTTCACCTTTGCTAATGAGATTACAACTAGGATTTGCTGCTTTTTTAAATATTACCATGCATTCTGTTTTCTTTACATTCAACAATAATCCTTTACGTTCACTTTCTTTTACAACAGTATCTAGAAGCAATTGAAGGTCCTTTTCGGAGCCTGCAATTAAAACCGTGCCACCTGCATACCTGATATTATTGATATTTTCTCCATTTACTTTGAGGCCTGGACATTCTTCTATGTTTCTAAGGATTGTTTCACTGTACATGTTAAAGAGGTCTGGTGACATAACACATCTTTGCCTTACTCCTCACCTAATCTGCTTATATTCACTGTATTCTCCATTAATTTGTACAGCAACGTTTTGGTCCCAGTACTATACACTAATAATAATATTAATTTTTTTCCCCTGTGCACCTTTGACCTCCTCTAAGCTTATACCTTCCTCTTCTCTAATGTGAAAGAGACTAGGCAGGCATTAAATAAAATGACACTCCTAAATATTTAAAAAATGAGATTCAAGTATCCACGTTATTATATCTTGAGGCAAAACATTGTCTTATAAGATAACATCAAAATCAATCAGTTCCTGAAAAAATACAAAGTGCACACACACACACACACACACGCACAAAAAAAAAAAAAAAGGCCTACAAATGGTTAAACAAAATAAGAGATCTGCTAGTACAAAACAGAAAATAGCTGGTTTATGTCAAAATTAAACCTCCTTATATATACCTTTGATATGGAGTCAACCGCTTCTAATCTTTCTGGTGCAACAGCACGGGCTGTCACATTCTTTTTGTTCACTTTTGCTCTTTCTTTGGCTTTGTTCTTCTGTGATTTTTTTCCTGTGTCAGCCGAGAGATGATCTCTTCGCTCTCTGATGGCATCAACTTGTTTCAGCACTTCTGTCATATCCTCCAATGGAGGCACATCTGTTGAAGAAAACAACACCAAAGCATAATGAAACAACTTATCATCCAACCACAATCTCCAGTACCATACTAAAAAAATAGAAATACTTTAGAAACATCATGGTAGACAATCAAGGGGACCAGCACCATATTGCACTTCTCCCATTTACACCTGAAGCTATCTTCTTTCTCTACAGTTGTATCCTCCAAGTAGGACACCTGGCCAACAATTTCAAAACCCTTTTTTCTATCTCGGCAGCCAAAAGATTAAGGGTGCAAACTAAGTGAGCCCATCGCCGTTCTGTTTCAAGCAAAACGACGGGTCTAAATTCTACGCAATATGAATTGCTCTACGATGGCTGGAGTGGCGTTGTTTTAAAACCCAATAAGACCCCGTGATGCACCCGGGGCAGATCCGTCGTTTTGATGGAGTTATTATTTTAGTGTGGCACTAAAATTCAGCCAGTGAGGAACTGGAACCGCTTTTTCACTTTTTCTTCAAGTTCAAGCAACATAACAAGATGGGAGGTGGAAGCGTAGATAGCAGCTGTCATAAAAAGGCAGGTTTTATGAATGACAAAGGAGACGACGACTATTCAAACAAAGTTTTAATCAACCAAATACGGAAGGAAGTTTCAGAAGAAATTGGAATTGATGATGACGTGTAATAATGATAATCATTGACTTCATCTCTCTGTCTCTCTGCATCTCTCTCCCCTTCACGTCACTCTCCTTCCCTGTCACTCTCTATGTCTCTCACTCTGCCACTCTCTCTACTTCTTGTTCTATCACTCTCTCTTCCACCCTCTTCCTCCCTGTCCCCCTCTCTCTGTCTCTCGCTCTGTCACTATCTCTGTAATTTTTTCCCTCTCTCTCTCTCCCTTTCTGTCACTCTCTCCCTCTCTATCATTCTTGGTGGATTCTGTGAAGCCAATATCTTCGCCTATTGTAACAATGTCTCTTTTTTAAACAATAATACAAAATTTGTCAAAATCTCGGCTGCCATGTTCTCAAGCAGCCTGACAGCGCTGGAACTGGCATGGGACGGATGAATTTAATTTTGCCACCCAGTATGTTGCCGTTCCAGTGACAACCCATTTTTTTTCGCTGGATTGGCCATGGGCTCACTCTGTTTGCACTCTATCTAACCTTTCTTCTTCATTAGATGTCACACAAACAGAAACACCTTTATTTTTTTAAAAGGATTTATGGATATGGACGCACCCTGAGAAATAAATGATGTGTTTACAACTTTTTAAAGCTTTCCAAGGAACTCTCTCTCTCTGCTTTTAGTCTTTACTTTAGTACGTTAGTACTCGTTAGTTAAGCAGGCTGCTATGCCTTGACTCTTGGCTCGGCAGTTCATGACACATGAAGGTATAGAAAGCAACAAGCACACCTCTGTGATTGGCCGAAATAGATAACGTATCTCCACCATCTACTTTTGTCGTCTTCCGGGGTTTCCCTCATGAGTTGACTAGAGATCCATCACCCTTTATTATTATTCATCGGCTGTTAAAAGTATGCTAGACAGTGTCACTTCAAGAATCTTTATGTGACCAAATGAAAGTTGAATATTCCGGTGACAAACGCGTCTGAGAATGTCGATGCGGTTTGTAGAGTGGGCAAAAATGTTGAAAAGTCAGCGAAAAATATCTCACAGTCTGATATGCTCTGAATAAGCTGGCTTTATAACAAAACTCAGCTGATGTGCATAGCAATGGTTTTTTTGTCTTATCCCTCATGATATTATTATTTTTCAGTATACCTGAAACATATCGATAATGCATCTAGACACTAGATTCTAGTTATACTATAATTATTTCATAAACGGAATTAAATTACAAACGATTTGGTAATAGCAGGTTACAACACGCTGCTTTTCTATTTTTAGTAACTCTGTCACCGGCATTCCGATGAATAATAATAAAGGGTGATAGATCCAAAGATTATCTTTGATACATCTAGTCAACTAGCGAGGGAAAACCCAGGAAAATGACAAAAATAGAAGGCAGAAATACGTCATCTATATTTGGGCCAATCACAGAGGTGTGCTAGGTGCTCTCTCTATAGCTTCACTCCAAGAGTACCAAAACTGAAATATATCGATAACAACATAATTAAATAGGGTTAGGGTTAAGTTAATAGTAGGATTAGAAGTTGTTAGGGGTAGGAGTAGGGATGGGGGTGTAAGGACAGGGTTAGGCGGTTTAGTAAGGGGTAGGTTAAGGATAGAAGAAGTACTCGTTGTTGGAACTTAATGACACTTGGCAATTTAAGAAAAACAGGAACCGAAATGAGGAGGGAAAGAGCTAGCTAGCTGTACTTAATGACGGCTAGACTGCTAGGCCAGCTGTACTTAATAATAATGATGGCTCGGCTAGACCGATAATATAAACAGCAAAAAATAGGCGTACTGAATTGAAAATACATTTTTAGAATACAAAACCTAGAGTATTTGTATTTGAGACGAAACCAAAAGGTGCCTTACTGACAGTGCATGTATTTTAAACGTGAATAAAATTACTAATGAGACCTGTGTACTCAACAGGTTTCCGTCAATAGGGCCTAACCTAAGTATGGCTAGACTGGCAGGCTAACCATACTTATTAAACCGTAACGGCTTGGCTAGAATAAAATTTTAGTTAAGATAAAATAAATAAGATAAGATACACATCTTTATTGTCCAGATCCTGGCACATTGATTTAGTGTTTCACCACATGTACACACACACACACATGATGCGCAAAGTGAACACATCCGCTCGTCACTGAGTAGTGCCCAAACAGTTTGCAATACCAAAAGCCTAAAGTATTTAGTATTTCAGATGAAACTAAAAGGTGCCTTACTGACATGACATGATTTTAAACCGGAATAATAAACTAGACCTAATGAAACCTGTGTACTCAACAGGTATCGGTCAGCAGGGCCACAAGCGGATAGCTAGAGAATGACAACTAAATGCCATTGGCTGATAATAGCCATCTTGTTTGACTTTGAATTGAAGGGTTTTCAGTAGTTTTCACTTTGTCAGTCATGGTGGCAACACCGCACGACGGCAGCCTGCTGACTCGGATTATTTTCTTTGCAACTTGCAGATCTGTTCGGTTCGGTTGTCTGTGGTTGTGCAGCACCCTTCTTCCGCCCAGATTGATTCTGATGCTGTACACTACGTAAACTGAGAAGAATAAGAAGACTACGAATAGGCCTATATATGTACGACAGCAAGTTCAAACAAAGTTCAACAATGCAGTGCAAATGATCGACTGGATCGTTTCTTTACTTTTAAAGTTTTGAGCACAAAAAATTAAGCACATAGATTCTAGATCTACAAGAAGAGATTGGACTCGAACGTTGAGTTGCAAATGGAGTAGATCCAATTCGAGACGGCAAAGTTTGCAAAAATGGACTGTGAAGTGCAGAAAAGCAGTAGATCTTAAGTACTCTAGTATTACTAGGGGGAACCACTAGGAAAGACTCAAAGACAGAAGCTTGGAATGGAGTGTCTACGTACACGGTAAAAGGGCGCCTAGCCTCAGTGTCTACGTACATTAACCGGCAACCAGGCATGTAGTCTCAGTGTCACGTACACGGTAACCGGGCATATGGCCTCAATATCTCTACTATTCTACGTGCATGGTTACCTGCAACCGGGCACGTAGTCTCAGTGTCATGTACACGGTAACCGGGCTGTCCAGAACAGAGAACTCCAAGTTCAGTTTTTGTCATCCGTTGTTGCCTTCATCCCCACCCCTTCCCCGACTGTACCTTAAAAAAAATAAAAAAATAATCCCCCCATTCCGGAGCCCTATACTTCGCAGCGTACAGACTTTGAATGAATTTTGGTGACCCCAACCGGTACTCACAATGTGATGCACACACACACAGGTTCACTGACTGGTTACAATGGCAAGCCCGACAAGACCCTTTGTATGACTTTCTTTTTTTTTTTTTCAGCAAGTGACAGCACAGGACAAATATATATTGATTTGTTTTCATTCTGGTTACCGTGTATGTAGATACTGAGACTAGGTGCCCGGTTACCGTGTACGTAGACACTCCGAGCTTGGAAACTGCTAGTGCAATTCGTGCGCTACACAAAATCATCAATATTTTTAGAATCACGATCAGATGACTCAGCGGGCATCCTTCTTGCGAGGTCAAACAATATGGCTGTTACTATAAATATCAGCCAATGGCGTTTAGTTGTCGCTCTCTAGTCATCATCTGCTAGTCAGTAGTAAGGCCTAAAACTTAAGTCTTGCATGATGTACGGCTAGATATCTAGATCTAGACTGGCGGGCTAGCTGTTCTGGCCACTTCGAATGAGGAATGATCTACATCTAGATCTAGAATCTAGACTAGAATTTTTTTTCTAACAGAGCCTAGATCTAGATCTACCCTCCTTTAAAAAAAATAGAGAGTTACTTTCTAAACTAGACTCTCTAGAAGATCGGCGCTTTTTCGGTGGTAGTTCCCACCCCGCCATTGTTATTCGAGGGTTTTGGCCCCAAGAGTAGATTCTAGGGGGGTTTCAGGGGAAGCCCCCCCTGACCTGAGAAAAATAAGGTAGGGGGTTTCAGGGGGGCATGCCCCCTGATTTGATATCTTAGCTTGCCGCGCATCAAACGTATAGACCTAGAGATCTAGGCTAGATGTAGACTGTAGATCTAGATCTAGTCTCAAATAAGGGGGGTGGGAACTACCGAAAAAGCACAAGAAGATCTAGAATCTAGAATAGTAGACAGTTGATGTATCACAGTGAACCAGTTGATCGTTTGGGAATTCTCAATTTGATAAACAGCAATCTCACAGTTAATGATAATACACTGCAGTTTCGATATTTTTTGTTATCATCATGTGTGGTTCTTACCGGAATCGTCAGCCATTTTGACGCTACTGGAGTTTCCTTGACCCTGCCACAACCGACCTTGGAAACAGCAGAACAGCTGTGGTGCAAAAGATTTCTGTTCTAACGTTTTGGTTTTAGAAGAAAAAAAAATTAATGAAGACCAGGAAGCAGATACGAATCAGGATACTTCCCAGCTAAAGAATTCTAAATTGAGTAGTTTGTCTTTGATCCCATTTGGCTTTCCTTTCTATTTACAACGAAGATGTTAGTAAGCGCTTTTTTTCCTGGAATAGCGCCTGTTCCAAAAACGGATGCACTCGTTTACGATCAATACGACACACACTTTGGCTCTACAACAATATTTTTTGATTTCGCAATTTGGTTTACAAATTATTACCATCGATTTCTCAATGAATGCTCAGCTTGGTGCAACTTAGTGGTAAAAACAAACAATTTTGAATGAGGGTAGGCCTATCTTCCCTTCCTCATACTCGAGCTTCAATGCTTATGAGGGACTAACTTGCCTGTCTCGCTGATCTATTTGTGTCATATTATTCACTGAAATTCTGAGTGTAAACTGCTAGTCGTATTTAGGCTTGGCCTATTATGCTCTGCTGTCGCTGAACCTGAAATCTGAAGTTTTCCAGAGAAACATAATTAATTAATTATATTATTAATTTGTTATAATTGATTTTGTGGCTTGGGCTTTCCAGTCCAGCCCAGGCTACGCGCCCGGAATCTGCCCCGTCTTCGTTGTTCTCGTGAAGTAAGTCTGAGCGTCAGTTTAATAAAAAAACAATCTTTAATTGTATGGCCAGAGGGCGATTATTATTAAGATTCCCGCGTTTAATTCCGATGTGCGTTTTTAATACCCTCAGGCATATTTCGCTTTGGTCCTAGAGTCTAGGTTAGGGTTAGGGTTAGGGTTAAGGTTAGGGACCAAAGCGAAATATATGCCTGAGGGTATAAAAAAGGCACATCGGAATTAAACGCGGGAATCTTTTAACAATCGCAGGCCAGAGCTCTATTGACTATTTGGACTCGAGTCCGATTAGATTAAATTTTGGTAGCGTCAATTGCCACTGAGTGAAGCGGTGTCAAGTCTGAAAACAGCACTCTATCTTTAACTTTCTATTCATAAAAATATGTTACGAATACATAGTTAGGTCTTTACCCCTTCTGAAGTTAATTTTTGTAAACGAGTGTAGCACACATTCTGGGGTTTGAAAAAGTCGAAATTTATAATAGGCCTTTAAAGTAAATATATTATAATTATAGTAGGTCAATTTGTGAATGTTTTGCACTCAAATTCTTCTTTTTACCTGCACAATGGTATTCAAAACTTTGTCATGAAGAGGATTCTGTGGATCTGCCCAGACTTTCAGAGATAAACTTTGACCTGTGTGCGAGCTTGTGTCTTTCGTTCATGCCGGGTAGACCTAGCACATATCGCATTGCAGCAGGAGCTGATGTATCTTTTGTACAACCGAGTATGGCTCTCATTACTTTGTCCTGGATCACGTCCAGCCTTCTAAGTTGCGTCTTGGACAGTGTCAGCAGACCAAAACGGTAATCTACCTGAGACAAGACAAAATGTCAAAGAGCAAGACCAAATTTCTCTGCGGCATCTTGTCTCTCGTCATCACCTTCACTGCATTCAGCTCTTTCTGGCCTTTGTGATGATTTTCTATATATGTACTCCTTTCCACTCAATGTCCTGTCAAACACTATTCCGAGGTAGCTCAGTGTTTCTTACTTGTTTACTTGTGTGAAGGACCGACATCATGCACAAGGGGCATCCCCATCGCTCCGTCCCCTGAAGAAGCACATCTCGAAGTGTGTAGATGCTGACGGTTCCAAGCAATGGTTGATTCCATAGCCTTCTGCTCCTCCCAAAAGTTTTGAACTTCTGGAGGCGCCCCATCCGATTCCAAGCTCACAGAGTCGCTCAAGATGATGGTATCCGACTCTTCTTGTACTTTTTCTCGTGTTTCCCTGACTGAACGTACAATTTCAGGTTTGTCAGGGCACAGCTTCCCTTCAGGTCTTGCTTTTCCAGCGAGCTCAGTACTTTGTTTCTTCTCTTTTGATTGTTTGGCCTTTGGTGTAAACGTCTGGCATAGCTGGGTTTTCACTGCTCGATTAGTGAGGGAGCTCCAAAATACTGTCGCTTTTCCAGGATGGAGTTTGCCTTTATTTGCTTCACACCATGCTCCAATCCTATCAAGCTCTTTCTGTATGTGGGTGGTTGGTGGTCTGGTGCGATTTATGTAAGGATTTCTCTGTTGACATCCACCCCTTGGCGCTCATATGACCTTATGCAGTTGTGAGCGCCGTAAAACCTCTACTAAAACTAAAAACGGGTGTGGTTTGCTTCTTCTTTCCTATGAAAAAATCTGTCGTCCTTATTTCCCCTTTTTGTTTTTTATGTTTGTTACTCTCTTGCAACAGTTACACACCTCTAATCTTCTGGCGCTCATCTGACCTTATGCAGTTACGAGCGCCGTAAAACCTCTCTACTAAAACTAAACTCTTTCTGTATACTGCTGGCGATCTCCTGTCTGTCTTTCCCTGTGCTGTATGCGAGACTGTCATCTGGAAAGCTTAGTGTCCTGCCAGGGCCTTCCAATTGGTTAGAAGTGATTCCTACTGCATACACGTTGAGCAAAACAGGTGACAGGGCAGAGCCTTGAGGTAAGCCAGGTGCGATCGTGCAAGCGTTTGATGCCCACGAGCCAAGCCTCATAGCCACCTACCTCTTCAACATTGTTTCTCAATTCCAGATAATCAAAGCTGGGGTGATTCTCATGTTGATTAGCGTCCTCATCAGCATCTCGTATTCTACCCTGTTGAACGCGTCTTCTAAGTCCAATGCAGCCACTATTTTTTCTTCATCCCGCTTAAAACCATCATACACTTCAGAGGCCAGGACTGCAGCTGCCTAAAGTAGGGTGTAGCAGAATCTTCTCCTCCTGTTCAGCTGCCAGCATTTGGGCCACAATCTTTTCGGGTAGTTTCCCTATTACAAGTGTTCTGCATGGTGATGATTCTATAGGATGCAATCTTGCTTGGGTCTTTCTCAGGCTTGGATACTGGTGCCAGATGGCTGTCCAGCCAGTCAGTCGGTATCTGTCCTTTTTCAAGACTGTTGTTAAAGGCCTGTGTTAGAAACCTCCAGATCTGCCTCACTCAGCTGCCTCATGTGCGAGTTTCGCAAGCCATCAGGTCCAGGTGCCGTGTCTTTTCTGCTCACGGTGGTGTGCTTAATGGTTTCAGACGTCAGCACAACTTCAGAGGTGCATTTGGAGGTTCTTCAACATGTTTCGTCTTTCAGCTTCATTCTTTTGGTTAGTTTGTTCTTGATACCAATTGAATAAGGCTTTTCCTTTCTCCTCATCGCTTGTTTCTGTCTTGTTTCCTGGCTATCATTTCGAGCTCCTCATGTCTAAGTGAGTCAATTTGTTTTCTAATTTCATTGGACGAACACCTAAAACTACCAACTTCAACTTGGTTTGTTTTGAATGGCGATTCTAGAAGTAGACTGCAAACGCACACAAACTCAAACAGAAATATGCCTATATATCAGGGAACATAAAATAAATCTGAGGGACGGGGGTTAGGGACAGAGAGAGACATTCCCCCCCCCCTCCCCACATACACACACCCACAGTGGCCTCCTAAGCGGAAGTTCACGAATGCAGAAAGAAAGCTGAGCACACATAGGCTAGATCTGCTCACCGTGCAAAAGAGCTCCAATTTACTCAGTGGCAAATGACGCTGGCATCAATTGTCACCGCGTCACTCGGTTGCAATTGACACTACCTTAGATTTTTTTTCTATTCGGACTCAAGTCCGAAAAAAATGTTTTATATAAATTTATTCAGACTCAGCTTCTAAGTGAGTTATGTGACAGTAAGGAGGTTATGTAATTTAACTCCTCGGGGGAATTGACGTAAAACCAGAATTAGAACTAAAATTACCTACTAGGACTGCGTAATTAATTGAGTCAACAGTCAAAAGACTGCACTTTCATCACCCAATGGCAGTGTCTACCTACACTGTAACAGACAACTCAGGGTCTTTCCACCACCACTACAGCATCATCATTACTTCCACAACCATATTTGTCTTTCCACTTGCTTAATTTCATTTTGTTGTGTGTTATAGTTTTTCTGTAATTAGTTGTTTTTTAAAAATCAAATCGCACAAAATCAACAGACGTGGCCTCTTCCCAACACTGCTTCCCCCACCAAGCCGAGAGTGCGTGATCGCTAAACGCAATCTCATTGGTCGACACAATTAACTTTTCCCCCCGGCAAGGTCAACTCAACTTGGTTGTTCTGTTCTTACTAATGATGCAGGGAAGGCCAGTTTAGATAGATCTAGTAACTGGATATTAAAGATGACATCTCGATTGGTATCATTATAATCGAAAGATTTTTCATAAATGCTGGAAATGTTTAGGAACAAGGGTCGGAAGTTGGAAGTGAGGTCATGCTAGACTCGATTCAGAGTAGGAATATAATTTTTTTTAAATCGGACTAGAGTCCGGATAGTCACTTTGTTTAATTATATATAGTAAAACCTGTGTAAAACGGCCCCCAAATGTCAAGGAGAAAAGTGGCCGTATAACACAGGTGGCCGTTTTAGGCAAGACTGATCAAAATTGAAGAAAGAAAATCCTTCTCTTCTGAGGTCCAAACCGGAGCTTGTATCCCCCCTTCCGTACCCTTTCCTGAAACCGCTATCCCATGTCCCTCATGGTCTGCCCGTCATGCCAGGAGCGACTACCCCCACCGGGCAAGAAGCAGCCCCTACCGGAACACACAGGGCCTTGCAGTGTCTCATGCCACACAATTTAAAGCTAGGACTCCAAGAGACTGTGACCCCACAGCGGCGAAGAAAGCCTCTTGAGAGGCCATGAACTTGGGGGGGGGGGGGAGGGGGTGTAGCTGTATTAATAGTATTACTCATATTCAGTTCATGTCTTATCATCATTATCACTCTGCGCCCCTTGGAGACTCATGCGTGTAGTTTCATTTGTCATAGCGATCACTCATCATTTCATTACATTCTACATCACTGTCTTGTGTCTTCCATTTCATTTCAGTTTATGTGGTCATCACTTGTACCCTCGTTGAATCATTAAAAGTTCATTGACGTTATCCGACAAGTGATGAGTCATTCTTGAAGGCTCGTCGTATAAGAAATAATGACGAATGGTGTACTCCTCATACGTCACGAAGGTGTTAATCTGGTCTACTGTAGTAGTGTGGAAGCCGGTCATTTCATCACACGGTCATCTCGCCACACCACAATTATGTGTAATGAAATGACTTCGCATCTCTCCAAAATTGTATGCTTGTAGAGTTTTGGAGGTTCAGTGCCAGCAGACTTTATTCTAAATCTCCAATTCAAGCATGTAATCGTTGGACAATGCCCTCCTGTTTTAAAGTAATTTAAGCCTAAAACTGCCCCCCCCCCCCCCCCCACCACCAATAAAAACAACTCAACAAAACTCGCCCAGTTATGAACGGTATAGGCTGATCAGGTAGGCATGACGTCTCGCACCCCTCTCCCCCCCGTCCTTTCACACCGATCACACTCCACCCAACCCTCCCCCAAAAATCGTGATTTGCGATTGCCAGGACAATGCGCGTTTGATGTTTGCAAGTGTGTGACGAAATGACCGTCTCCATTCCACCTTGTAGATTTGGGGTGTGGCGAAATGACTGGTACTCCTTTCTGTCCCGTCCTGTTCTCTAGTGACTCAATGTGGAACAGTAGTCTCCGCCTAAACGCACGCCATACAAAAACACGCTCCGCTCAAACGCACGCTTTCGTCATCTGACTTGTTTTTTACTATATAATTTAGACGTACAAACGCACGGTCACTCCCTCTAAATGCACGCTCCGATCCGCGAAACACGCCGACAAGTTAAGCTTGGCAAGGGGAAATTTTCACTACAGCCTGCATAAGACAAGCCTAGAATTTACTAGAAAACCTGATATTTGGTGAGAGTGCCCCTCACGCTGTACAAAGAGAGTGATGGACTGCGTTTACACACCCTACTTTCTACCGACGCATAGGTCTCGATCTAGGGCTGGTCGCTTAAATGTTGGGGGGGTTAGGGGGACTGAAATGTTTTTCGATTGGTCACTGGAAATGTATCTTTGAGAGAAGGTTTCTGACTGGTGTTTGAGTGACTGCGTGTAATGTTTAGTTAAATCTAGGCCTGATGCGTGACACGCGCGAATGCCGTAAAACACTAGAAAGATTAGCCGAGAAAGCCTAATCAGCTGCACTCGAAGAACTAATCCGTACTTGTTCAACGAATCACAAGAGAAAATGTTTCTCGTGGATGATTCTACATGAATTTACGGTCGGTGGTGGTCGCTTGGAAAGCCACGTGGCTGGTCCATCGTGTCTATGACTATGACCAACAGTTTCCTTGTAGGCTGTCTGTGCCTGACATTTACAGTGCATTCATTCATTACATTGAGTTTGTTTTTCTTCCCCCCCCCCCCCCCCCCATTTCAATGCCTTTGTATTCTTAACCCCTGTCAGGGAATCCTTCACAAAAGTCACATGTCGTCACATTATCTGCCAAAATGACCCCCTCCCTCCAAGGTAGGAATTGAGATGACTGCGTCCCTTCCTCCCCTTGCAAAGGTTCATGTAAACGCACGCTCCGTATAAACACACGCTAAGGAGCCCTCCCGAGCACCGTACGTTTAGGCGGAGACTACTGAATTTGTTTCACAGCAGAAAAGGCATCAGTAACATTTATTTTTAGGTTTTCTGAGTTTTCACTTGTATAGTTGCTCCTTCCCAGAGGCCATCTGCTCAAGACAACTTCCTATACAAATGGCTAGACTCTATTTTCCACTTCTGCTTTGCGTAAAAAAAACAACAACTTATAATGGCACTTCCTAAAACAATAACACCTGTCCAACGTGACTGTGGCCATTTATGAACCGAAAACCTGGCCAAGATGGCTGCTACGCAATCTATTATTGCTCGACACTGCCGAAAATTATTTATAGGCCCTTGGTGTTGTAAACCATTCACATGTCATGGTTATGGAATAAATCAATTGCTGACACCTCACCTTGCAAAGGGGAATTTTCTTGTCCCTCCTACTTTTTACTCTAGTTGACCAGTCTGTAACATTTAAATGGGGCTTACCAGCAGTCGAAAGCTTGTGACCGCCTCAGGCTGGGACCTCGGAAAGGAAGACTGATTATACAGTGGAAACCTGATATAACAGGGATGGTGGGAGTAGAGAAAATGTCCAGTTATATCCGATCCCTGTTAAATCAGAAATGCAAGGAAAGTAAGCATTTGTGGACTTATCCAGCTGTACTTATTCATGGGTAGTTTCCCTTGCCGCAAGTACCCACGAACAGGGGTTTTGGCACCAACTTTCTCCTTGCCTCCTTAAACCACATCAGAAGAGCTTGGTCCACAGCATCGGGTAGTATCATCTTCTTTCGATTCAGAGCAAACTTTCCATTGGAGTATGCTGCCACTATTTTCTCTCTATCCTTGATAATGGTGTGAATCGACCCTTGTGGAATGTCGAACTGACGACAAATCTCTGCCAGTGTAGCTTGCTTTTTTTTTTCTACAGCCTGGATTATTTCAGGGGGGGGGGGGGGGGTTGTCAATTGAAAAGCATTTTCTCTTGCGCTTGACATCGTTGGTGACAGTAGACACATTAGTCATTACGCGTGCGTGTTGCTAGGTTTCGGGCTAGATCAAGGTCTGCAGCACAGTGCAGCCCTCTCTCGCTTCACACGCTGCGTGTGCTTGCAGTAGCATGGCTTGCATGGGCTTGCTCTATCACTGCCTGCGTTACTCTCTCTCTCTCTCTCTCTCTCTCTCTCTCTCTCTCTCTCTCTCTCTCTCTCTCTCTCTCTCTCTCTCTCTCTCTCTCTCTCTCTCTCTCTCTCTCTCTCTCTCCTTCTCTCTCTCTCTCTCTCTACTCTTACTTTTTACACTTTGTTAACGAGCCTTTGTCCCTGCTATAACCGGTTAGGCTCCGATGGGGCCCTGTTATTGCCGATAACTTTTAATAGAGACAAAGAGTAGGAAAAATCAGGGATTTAAAAAATCCCTGTTATTACCGGATCCCTGTTATTACCGGGCCTGTTATATATGGTTTCCACTGTAGTCTTCATTTTGATCAGTCCTGCCTAAAATGGCCACGCCTGTCTGAGACGGCCACTTTTCTCTGCGGCACTGGGTGGCTGTCTTAGATAATTTTGACTTGTAATAGTAGGCTCGTAATAATTCTGAATTCACCTATATACATACTCTGCGGTCATATTGGTTAACTGTTTGGGTTCATGTAATATTATTATATTTTATACCATATGAAATGTAAACAAATTTTGTCATAATTTCGTCCAACTTGGAAAACATCACATCTCGTGATCAAGCTGACTCACTTAATTAACATATATCTATTTTCATTGGCATCTAACGGTTTTGATAAGATTTGCTGTCTCAGTACTCAATGTTTTGACTTTGTTTTCATGCCTATTTTTTGTTAATTCCATGATGCTGCTGATATATATATAATATCATGGACACAGAAAAAAAATGTAAACATACAGTTCAAAAGAATAGGTGTATAGAAGCACCAACACTCTTCCACAACATAATTGAACTGAAAGTGAACTACTTTGGGCATATCAAATGCCATGAATCTCTTAAACGCATGATTCTGGAAGTAAAGATAAGAGGCAAAAGAGGATGGGCCAGACCTAACAGAAGATAGAACAGGATATGTGTAGCCTATAGAAACCTTACCTTTTCTGTGAAGTGCAACTTGTAAAAGACTATTTTAGAAAGTGTTGTAGTGTCATTTTAAAGTTACAGTTTACTCCCATAGCTAGCTGCATTTGACCACAAGTTAAGAGTCATATATTGGAGTAGGCTTTAAAAAATATAGTGACTGTCATTATTGATAAATTTAATTAATGCCGCAGGGACCTCTCAGTTTAGCATATATGTCATTGTAAAGTCACTTGGTACTTGAAGTCTTTGTGCTTCCCAGTCTTTTTGGCAACTCAGTGGAAAGTGCAAGAAAAAGCCACCAATGAAGGTTCACCAACTTCTGGCAAACAGTTTTGCTTTTACTGGTAATGGTTTATATAGCGTAATATTATCTTCAGGTTTAGGCGTGAAACTGTTGATTGGCAATGGATCCAGGATTTATCCCGGGGACTGCTGTTGTTCCTTCGACTAAAGTTGAGCTCAGCGTGTCTTGTCGGTAAGTTGAGTGTTGAGATGGAATCTATTTTTGTATGCATATTTTAATTTTTGTTTGAATATTTGCATGAATGACGCTTCTATTCTTGCCACATTTTCCTGTGTTGTTTCTGGCTTGATTCAAGTTACACAATATCAAATGGATTTGATTATCCCTCATCTGTTGGCCCAGACTTGTTCAATGAGCGTGGTCAGATAAAATCTTGGAAATGCTCCTATTTTGAAGTTGGAACAGAGATAGTATTGTGTGAAAGAGGTTGGGCTTGTGGCCCATTAATTAGTTTGAGGGATGTTGGAAAAAGGTTTTCAAGTTATAACTGCAAACAGGACCTTTTATCTGACCTTTTGGAAGGTTTTAATCAACATTTAAAACAGCAAGGTCTACGGTATTATATCTGCAACAAAAAACAGAAAAGACAAAACGTGAGTCATGAGCAATGAAACATTTAACAGAGATCAACATGTTATTAATGACTATGACAGTGGACATGTGGTCTTGATGTCATGGGTTCAGCTCTTTGCAGGGATGGGTTGGACTTTTAACCTTACTCCCTTCTGGTTTTTATTTGAGTCAAATCTGTTCAGGGATAAACCTGAAATTAAGACAACTGACCTACCCAGAGGTTGCAGACCCTGTATAGATCTTATGTCTTAGAATGAAGTTGTTCACATTGCCAGAAGTATGAATTCATTTGCTCATGTAGTGCAGAGTGTGACAAAATCTCTAGACTCTTGATTTGGTTCCATGGATGGACTGTTTTGTTGTTACTATTATTATTGTCACGACACATTAACCTTCCCCCCCAACCCCCCCCCCAACCAAACAACCCCCCCCCTCCTCCCCAAAAAACAGCAAAAAACCCACAACAAAGTAACCTTCATATGAGGCTTATTGAAACACTTATGCAAAGGAGAGTAAGTTTTCAAACTTTCCAATGTCATCTCTTCTGGATTTTTTCACACAAAATGATCTACATTATGTCTCACTGATCCACTGATCTGTCCTGTCTTATTTGTTAATCTCAAATTGTATTTGAATATATATTATGTGTGTGTGCTTAAAGAAAGGTACCAAAAGTCAGATTTTGACCATTTTGAGTTAAGGGCATACTTATGGGAAATTCAATGCTGAACACAGGGGTGTTTTGATTTTTTAGATATTGCATGTTTTGCAAGGTAGGGTATAAAAATATAATTCTGAGAAAATAAGCTTTTAAGTTTAACAAACGTGTGAACGTATTATACAAACTTATAAAAAAACAACAATTTTTTAAATGTATTCATCCACGGAAAATTCTTTTCCAATTTGGCATTCAGTTGACCTCAATATCATGATTGGAATTCAATGGTAAAACATAGCAGGGAAGAGAAAACATGCTTCAAGAAGAGATTTTAACACCTTTTAGAAGCAGATTTCATTATTTGTTTCTATTATACCCTACCTTCAAAATAATTTAAAATAAAATATTCAGAAGTCAAATCTACGAAAACCCTTTGAGCACATTGTAAAAAAAATAGCGGATCTACCATTTTTTAAATGGAAACACATTTTAATCAAAAAAATGATTTTTATCATTATCAGCCTGTAGCTCGAAACGGTCTGGGGCGACTTTTGGTACCTTTCTCTAGGTGCACACACATATTTTGGGTTTGACAAAATGTGGAATGGAATCTGGAACTGATTTGTGCAATTTTTTCATTTTCTTACCTAAAGGAATCTCACAGATAATGACGTCTTCTCAAAGTCAGACCCAATGTGTGTTCTTAAAATTATTGACCCAAAGAGCAGGCAGACCCATGAGGTAAGTGTGTGTCAATATGTTGTTGTCTTTCCCAGGGTTATGCGTCGTATAATATATTTGTCAGCAAACTGTTGAAATGTACTAAATCCTAGGAAGCAAAATTGTTCAGGAGAGAGGAAAAAAAAACGTTTCACATTTTTAACGATGTTGTACAGGTACCTATATTATGTACAGTATAATCCACTTATATCGACAGCCCATGTATCGACATTTTAACATATCGACATATTTCCCAATTAAGAAATTTTCCCTTTAATATCTTCACAAAACAATTTCTCTTATATCGACTTTTTTTCGGCCCACTCCGCTTTATCAGCAGGCTTCCTGGGTACCAGGCGAAGCCCACAAACATAAATGGTTGAAAAAGCCACGCTAACGGTCAGCACATTAGTGCTTCATTAAGTCCACATACCCGCCAAGTAGCTTATTTTGACACACCAGGCTTTAGTAATAGTAGGTCATGTAGGGCCTACACAGTGTAGTCTCCAACACAGTACAGTGCCTCACAGACATTTAGCGTCTCGCGCGCTGGGCATCACCTCCATACCCCCACTCCCGATCGCTCACTCCCCTCCCCCATCCCGTTCTCAGTCTGTCGCTGGCAAGTGCTACGGTCAGTGAGTCAGTGCCTCGCCTTTCCATTTTCCTCAGCAAACGGCCATAAACAGGCCTTACAAGGATGCTCCAACAAAATTTGCACTGGTGTGTAGTGTGCGCCTTGCACTGCTTGGTTTTGGTACTGTAGCTCCAACCCCCCTCTCCTCTGCCTCTTGTAAGTCTTACTGTGAAGTTGTGTAAGAATCAAGGGAAGCAATCAGCTTAAAAAAGTAGTCTTTTTACCACTGACCTCCCCTTGTTTTTTTTCCTCTTTGGCTTTATATTGTTTATTTATCAAAATTTTTATATATCGACATCAAATCCACTTCCCAAAGCATGTCGATATAAGAGGATTATACTATTAAACTGTACCTTTTCTTACTTTTTTCAATATTTGGTGATTGAATTTCATGAAAATATATTTCGAGCACTTTCAACTGATACCAGAGATGAACAGTTGCTAACGTTCCTGGTATGTTTTGACCTTTGTCAAACTTGTACAAGTTGTTCTTTATAACTTTTGCAAATTTTCATGTTGTGGAGTCTACCGTTTAGAGTCTATGACCATCACCGACTGCTGTAGTTTTAGTTGTAAATTAAGCTCTTTGTTAGCTTAGTTTCAGGCTGTTTAGGGAAGGCCCAGTTCAAATCTCAAAGGCGTTCACTTGATCTTATGCAGTTGCGAGTGCCGTGAAACCTCCACTAAAACTAAAAGGGACGTTTTTGCTCTGTGGTTATTTGATGAGGTTCCATGACTCTCCCTTAGCTGCTTGACCAAGCTCTATTTGAGATTTGAATTAAAGCTGCAGTCTTGCTTCTTAGATAATCTGAATGTATAGGTTGTTGAACTCATCTGGAATCTAATTTGATTTTTTATGCAAATCAAAGTGGATTTTTTGAAGAATGAACATGAAATTTGGGTCTTCTTTCCCAGCCCCCCTCAATTTATAAACTTCTTGTGCACATTCGTTTCTTTCTATATTTTGTACAGATTGGTCGCACAGAAACCATTAAGGACAACCTGAATCCGGATTTTGTCAAAAAATTTATCGTGGACTATTTCTTCGAAGAAAGACAGATTATCAAGTTTGAAGTGTGAGTTTATTCTTCGACTGGATGTAATACTGACAGAACGAGAGTGATGGGAATGAGCATAAAGAAAGATGTTGTAAATATGAGGTAGTCTGAAGTGTCCAGTATACTGATTAAAAAAATTTATTAAAAAATTAATGTAGGTGTTTTTGACTCAATTTAGCTCACTTAGAAGGCGGGCTTTTGACCATGCTTGTCATGGCCAACCTGGGCAGAGAGGGATATATTATTGCAGCGGAAACATGGAAATACTCATAAAGAATTCGCCCCACTCAGGAATTGAACTTGAGTCTCCTGCATGAGACAGCGATACGAAGTGCCTTACCTTTACACAGTAGACGCCGGTGAAGATGCTGTAGATATGAGGCTGTTCAAATTGTCTGGTATGCTGAGCTATAGATGAGGATGAGGGGAAAAGCTGAAGGTAGGGGGAAATAAAAGAGGGTTAGATAGTAGAGATAAACAGTATGTCAAATAAAAGTATGAACTTTTGAGCGGAGAGGTTCTGAAATTTATAATAATGTTTTGGTACTGGAAAACCATTCAACTTTTAGCAATCATCTTTTCTCCTTGTTATTACACTTCTTTTGTCTTCTGCTGTCTGTGCATGTCAACGAACAGTAAGTACCAGATGTGCGACATATATCGGCAGTCATGATTTGCCATTTATTTCTTTGCATGGATGTGCTAAAAAAATGCTATAGTTAGTATCCCAGTGTTTCCCCCCTCTCTCATCTGTTAGGACTTTCCTAGTATGTCACTCTGGGTGTACTTCTGCCTCCTGTAACTCAATTTTACTAGTAAGAGCTAGATCTTCGAGGCCTTTATGTCGATACAAGTGTCCCAGAAATTGCATTTGTCTCTTCCTAATTGTTTTTATTAGTGAGTGACCCATGTGCATATACAGTCAAACCTGTGTAAGACGGCCATCCATTGTCAAGGAGAAAAGTGGCCATATAAGACAGGTGGCCGTCTTAGGCAGGACTGATCAAGATGAAGAAAACAAACCATTCCCATCTGAGGTCCCAATTGAAAGTAGCAGCATTGTTGTTGTTTTTGTTGTTGTTGTTGTTGTTGTGGTTGGTTTGTATTTTGTTTGTAATTTTTATTTTGTTGCTGATTTTGCACAAGGGTGACAATAAAATGAAATATATCCGACGAAAAAGACCGAGTGCCATGTTAAAACAAACACATGGGTTGCCACCACTCGGAGAACAAGCGACGCTTCTGTCACAAATTCATGTTAACGTCCTTTGTTACTTTGTTACAGACTGGTTAAACAGTGACCACTCATCTCACTTACGATTTGTGTATGAGTTCTGGGTGGGGCTTATGGGTTATGAGGGATCACATGCTTACCTCACCAGCAGCTGAAAATCGGTAGCTATTGGTCAACAGTGGGAGGGGCCTATGCAACATGATCGGTTGGAGGGTCTACCTAACAACAACGACAGGTGATTGAATTATGACTGCTCGCCCGCAACGCCAGGGGCCAATGCACAATTTATGACAAAACGCAATGGAGTCACTAAGGTGGCCATCTAAGACAGGTGTTATTGCTTAGTGTGATAGGGGTTGTGTGTCAAAATATGGTGGCCGCGGCCGCGTTGGACAGGTGCCCGTTTTATACAGTTAAATTATATAGAAAAAACGCAAAGGGGGGAAATGGAAAGTGGCCGTTTGTACAGGTGGCCGTCTTATAGAGGTTGTCGTCAGGGCAGGTTTGACTGTATTTGTTATAATTGCTCTGTTCCCAGGTATGATATTGACAGCACAAGCAGTCGTCTACAAGATCATGTGAGTATTTTTTTTCTTATTAATTCTTTGTATTCACTTCTTTAAAGAAATGAGAGTATCATTTTAATCTTTGAACAATAAAGAACACAAAATTTATATGTTGTTGTAAACATACGAATATACATATAATGATCATGTTTACAACAGTTTTTCTGTATTGAGTATTGAATTTCTTTTTTACTTGGTTTCTTATTTAAACAGGATTTCCTGGGAAGAATGGAATGTTCTCTTGGGGAACTAGTGAGCGCGCCCGGTTCTCGCTTTGAGAGGAGACTGGAGTAAGTGCTTCTTCACCATCTTTAGAGTTTTGAAAATCTCGCTTTCGTCTGTTGAAAAAGGAAGAACATATCTACTCTTTTTAACATTTTTTTAAAGAATGAGTTAAGTGAGCGAGGAAAGCTGTTTTGAGAAGAATTTGTTTTCACTTTTGAAATGGGTGCAAATCTGTTATTTTTTCCCCGGAGAAACACTTCTTACTTTGTCTACCATTCAGCTAATCAGAAAGTTTTCCGTCCTCTTTCTTTGGAACTTAAAAACTTTTTCTTGAGCTGGAATGCTTTGCATGACTAAGTCAAGAGCATTTCTGAACCACTGACCTTTCACAATGATGTAATAACTACCTTATAATTTGCTCATGTTAAAACCTACTGTATAAAAAAATGAGTTCTAACCTTGTAAATTCTTTCTTTTAAATTGAAAGAAGTGTCTAATCAGTGTTCAGGGGCTGACAGTTGTTTTTTTTCCTTGTAAATTCGGTTGTATTTTAGGCCCTTGACACAAATAAGGTCATTTAGGAGGGGGCTCTGACCCTGCTTGTTAGGGTCAACCCGTGCCGAGAGGGATACAACATCCCAGCAGAAAGACCAAGACAATGGCTAAAAATTCTCACCATTTAAGCATTGGACTTTTGTGTCCTACATATGACAGCAAAGCGCCTAATTACTACACCATGGAAGCTGGTGGATTATTTGCGTTCAGTCTGGTTTTTAAAATATACAACAACTCTTTGTCCTCTTATTTCACTCTTGGCGTTTTAATCAAACTGAAATGAAATTTTTTGTATGAAACTTTTTCGCTATCTTACCCTTGACATGCTATTTTTATATCCAGTTGAACCTGCTCTAACTACCACCTGTCCAAGACAATCACCAGTACAAATGACATCTTCCCACCACCCCCTTCCTTTTTTTTTTACATAATAACGACACTGTCCAAGCTGTCCACCTGTTTACGACAACAATTTTTCTTCTCAACAATAGCAGTTGTCTTGGACAAAATCCCATGGTATATGAAAACAATTTGTTAATAGTGATAACAATAATAGTAATAATTATAATAGATTCAATTTATATAGCGCTCTATCCCATATGAGTATAAGCTCTGAGTGCTGTACATTGATAACATGATAACTGAGCATAATACTTCATGAGGCTGTTTGTTCCAGTTCTGTGAAGTAACAAACTTTTATTTCTATCCTCAGAGGTCCTTCTGCAAGGAGAGGTTCAATTATGGGTAAGCTTAACATCCACTACACATTTATTGATGTTAGATTCTAAATGAAGAATGTGCGATACTGTTGTTCTATGAATTGAATCTAGTTAAGGTTTTGCAGTATTCTTATGAGTGCTATGTTTCCAGCGTGTACACCCACTTATTTTTCAAATATTTATATATGGGGGGGGGGGGGGGGAGAGGTCAGGTGCTTGTCCTTTCGTGGGATGAAACTTTTAAACATAACAATTGAAATGAAGGTGAAGAACTTTGCTGTGTTTTGAAGATTTTGTGTTGTATTTAGTGTTGGAACACACATAGATGATTGTGTGCTCTTTTGCAAGTTTTTTGTTGTGTTTTTATCCAATCCTTTTTGTTGTTTCAGTGAGGTGTGAGGAAGTGAGCACTTGTAAGGTAAGATTTTGTCCCTTTTTTAAGTAGGATTATGAATCTAGAGCGCCAGCAGTACCTTGTACTAAAAAGTTTCTTGTCTGGTCAGTTTTGGAAAGGTCAAATGATTCATTACGTGGTGGAATCAAGCACTCGTCAATTTTTGGGCATGTGGAGTTATTGGTATCATCTTCAAGCTTGTTCATTTGTTATCTTTTGATGAAAAAAAAATAGTTATCTATCTTGAATAGAAGTAGAGATATTTGCTATTGAAGGAGGTAGGGGGTCACCTTGTTTCAGAAGTAAATTTGCCAGAAAAAGGCTGCCAAAGTTGATGATTTCTGTAGCTTGAGAGTCCTAGAAAACTGAATATTTACTTTTTTTGTGTGTCTTTAATCAACATTTTTCAGTAAAATCCACACAGAAATGTAAAATTCAATAAATATTGCCAAACCCACAGAAAAATGCTGGTATCTTTGATTTCATTATTTTCCCGAGAGCCTAATTTCACAATGATGTCTGACAAATAATTTATCATTTATGGAAATGGCTGTGCAGGCGTCTTCTTTTTGATGTTTGATAAACAGTGAAACCTGTTCTAACACCACCTTTTGAAGACATGTCATTTAAATGTAGGCGTTGTAAAAGGTACAAAATGGTGGTGTTGAATAAAGAGAATGTGTATGCTGAATGGGTCTATACTTTAAAAAAGTGTCTGTTAAGCAAAGGGAGATAATACTGTATTGTAAACAAATCTTGGATTGGCATAGGCGCCGCATTGGATATTTTTGATGTATCGTGGATTTGTATGGAGACAGTCACACTGGACTGTTTACGAAACTGGAAAAAAGAGGGTGTAGACAATTTACCAAGAGATGCAGGCTCATCAAACTGAAGAATTTAAAGAACAGGTGAAATTACCCAAATTGTCCAAGATGGCCACCCATTGTAGAGGAGAAAAGTGGTTGTCTTAGACAGGTGGATGTCTTGGACAGTGTTACTGTAATATAGAGAAGAATGCAAAGAGGGACGTGGGATGTTATCGTTTGTACAGGTGATTGTCTTAGACAGGTTGTCGTTAGAGCAAGTTTGACTCTGCATGATTTGATGTATGCAATGTTTCTTTCACTCAGTGGATTGTGTTTTTCAATATATTTCTATCAGGATGAAGTTATCATACAGATGAAGGGGACCCACTTGGACAAAAAAGATTTTTTTGGCAAATCCGACCCGTTCCTCATGTTCTACAGGGTCAATGAAGATACCTCGTGAGTAGTTGCTGTTTGTTGTGTTCAGGAAAGGTCTTCCCATTTTGTGGTATAGATAAAGATCAGGTGTACCACTAAAAGGGTTTGAAGAGTAAAGGTTTGGGATGGGAGTGGGAGTGGGGTTGGTGGGGGTGGGGTGGGATG